ATCTACTGTACTGGTACCTGACATACCTTGAGATAATCTTGTCTTTGATTCTGTCTCAATCGTTCCAATACCATTAAATTGTCTGTGTCAATACCAGCTACCTCCGCCTTCATTCTCTGGTCACTATTAAAACAGAGAAAAAAGTAACGAAAGTTCAATGCAGTATTCTCCCCTGGCTGTTCTTGCTTAGTAATAATGCTACATTTGATGATGTCACACGCTTTAATAATGATAACATAATATATGGATTTCAAATCACAATCCATCAAAATTTCCTGTTACAAAGCAAATATTCCATCATTCTGAGCAGTCATCAGGACTAAAGCAGGATTAAACTAAAGACTAAGTTATGTTTCATCTAGAGCTAGTAAATTACTTTTGAGGATCTTCCTCCATGTCGTCGTGACAAACTTCCTCCTCTCCATCATCATCTTCTACTTCCTGTTCCTCGTCTTCGTCATCCTCGTCCTCATCAGAAATCACCATGCCCTGTTAATTCAATTTGACATGTGCAATTCTTCATTCAAAAGACAACCACAATGTATTTTTTGTCATATTAATTAATTCATATCTTTTTAGTCGTATCAATCAACAACCGACATTGATAGTATATGACACCAAGGTAAATTATTATTGCAGGAAAATGTTCTTCAGTACCAAAATATCATTGAGGGCAGTTTTATATGTTAAAGATTCACCTCACCAAACCCACTGATTGTGAGACAACAGTCATGATCAAATGTTTCACTTTGCTGCTGACAATAAATATAACAGCACATTATCACTCCTAGAACATGTATCACAATATATCAATTTTACAGTCTGCAGTCTACACTGATATTCACTCAATAACCATGGTTCCCACCAACTGGAATTAACCTCTGAAAGCCTGACCATAGAATGTGACAAGTTTCCATGACGTCTACAACAATACATGTGTGCGGAATAGCTATGTTAATTCTCAGCGAACAAGAAAAAATGTATGACATCATCAACAGTAGATGTGGGCAGAGTTAACCAATACTTATATAAATGCAAATTTCAGGCTGCAGCTTTAACTAATCCGACCAAACATTCATGTGATTTGAAAATGAAATTCCTTAGATAAATTACTAGCAAAAGAACAGAACCAGCATTTTCTCTCTCTTACAACACAATTTAGCTTGCAAAGACAACAGCGATTTCAGTGAAAAAGCTACTGTGAATAAAATGTTATATGTTCTAATACATTTTGGTTTCAAAGTGTCAACTTCTTAACAAGTTAATCACAACTCATTGGTTCAGCTAATCTCATTGGGAATTTGAAGAAGCTATTTAAAATGCAAATACCCTTTCTGTTAGTGCATGGTCTATGTGGGACATGGCCTCAGGTACAGGGACTTCATTCAGGCGACAAAGTGTTGTTACCAACATCTTCACTTGTTGCAAAATCTACAAAATACAGAATTTTGAAATGTGTGTGACACTTACAATTATCACTCAGATATCAGTAAGCAAAACAAAGCTTGCTTCATATTCAGAGTACTAGCCTGCAGACAGATTTTGAAAAAAATCCATTATTTCAACGTATAAGTTTGTAATAAATATTGAAATATTTCTTTTGGCTGATGTAAAAATCTACTTACCCTGGGCATCATAATATGATCAGTAAGGAATACAACTGCATTATATGTGGCAATTCCCATAGCTGTAATTATCTAAAACAAGCCCTTCATGTTGAATAGGTAAAACAATTTATTATGTTTGCTTATTTGTGTTTTACGTCCTAGACAAGGAAAAAACTATCACTGTGATGTCATCAAACCGATTGTACAAAGGTTACTGCCTAGCTAACGCAGGCCTCAAACCAGCAACCCAGAGGTAGCTATAGAGGGCTAGTGATCTTGGACGGTCAGACGCCTTAACCACTCGGCCATGTGTATGGAAGTTACTGTTCTATATTTAGTTTATTGTGCCTTAAAAACTAACTAGTGTAACAGACTTTTCATTACCAAGTAACTACACATACAGTATATGTGCAGGTTATAGTACAGGGATAATCCTGTAGGGGGCCATTGACCCCCCAAAACTGAAATTGACCCCTCCATGTTCCAATAGTCTTTTATATTTTACATAGAACAGCCCCTCTTGTTTGATATTGACTAAAAATTGCAGAAAATAACCCACTACTCTGAAATACCAGGATTTTACGTGTTATATATGATGTATTACGTTATTTTTGGTAGGTGGGGCTCTCTCCAGTTCTTGGATTGCAGCACTGATGTAGCTATCATCATCGTCTATGTACCACATTGGAGCCATCTGTGGATATGTCTCCTAAAACAAAATTTTAAACAATATTCATGATGTACTTCATATATATGATAAAATATAACAGCATCGCCACAATGTTTTCAGTTCAACTATTTTGTCAGGGTTCAAAAATTTCAGTATTATCTGCCAATATAGTATATGTCAAAGGACTTACCAGGAAATTAATTATGATTATAGTAAGATATCGACTATCTGTTAGTTACTGCACAGTGCACAATACTGCTACATGTAACGGAACATACATTTGTCATCATCAAGATCCAGGAAAATGTATATATACGATATGATAAAATATTGTTATTACTAAGAATAAATTGAATGATATGATCACCACGATATGATATGATCACCACTCAGGATGAAATTACAAAAATGAGGGTACCAATTCTGAATGTTAAAAATAACAACTGCACACAGTGATTTCGTCAATAACATTTTCATTGGGATTATATATTCACAGATCAACAATTCAATATAGTAATGTTCTCGATTATACATATTCCCAAGTAAATTACATGTGGATAGGAAGATCGTGATCCTAAAGGGATGACTTCATCATGTCACTTCCGTTTGATACTGCCTAAAAAAAGAACCGAAAACCAATATATTTCACTAGGTTCACATATATTTGTTCGGTACCCATGGTATTCTATGAACGACAAATGTGAACATTTGTAGTAATCTAAATACGGTGATCATTTATTGGGTATGCTACTTAACACCGTTTACTTAATACACAGACGACATCCCCTGCATTGTTTGTGGGAACAAAGATCTGGATGAAAGGATATTATTTACCAGCTGTTATAACCCCCTCATAATGAGTGTCTGCTAGTGAATAATTAACATATATTTGCCAGTTGAATATTAAATTTTCTCACCGTAATATTGCCGTGAATACGATGTTTGTCACCATTTCTGTCGATAAATCGACAAGATATCTCGTCAACCGAGACTGTCAGAATCTGAAACCGTTCGTTTTGTCTGGGGAAAGTGCTCTCCAGGATCCGTATGTCCTGTTTCAGATTTTCTAAACACGCCATGGCTGGTCCGTTCGTGGTAAATTCATTTGGAATTACGAATCAGCAGAGACAGTTGCAGTTAAGACATCCTCAAAATTAAACAAAAAGTTTCTTTAGGATGGCAATGTTATGATCAAGGAAACATGGCGAAGAAGTTTGTGCGCATGCGTGCAAAGTTTTGCTCTATAGTTTGTTCCATAATCTATCGTTCTCTGTCGCCTGCAATAAGATATAGTCTATTCTTGAAATGTGTGTTGGCAAAATTTTTGGAGCCATAAACGTGGAAATTACGACAATGAAGATCCATATGATCCAATAAACTTAAATTAAATCATGTTATTAAAACTTGACACCTGATTACTCTTTATTTATGAAAAATATCGCCCAAACTTAAATTATTGAACGGAACGTTAGGTTACTTTTGGAAAAACGCAATATATTAAAAAAGGAAGAAAAGAATGAATACGAAAAAAGTAAAGTAAACGGAATGTTTGTGTGAAAATTGTCATAAGTGTGACATTTATTTATTACGTATTAGCAAAATTGACATTATATTGATATTACGTCTCTGATCACATGTTATATATAGATCTCTGACTGAAGAAGTTTGCATTATCATTACATTTTTAATGCGCTGAATGACATCTAAAAAAATGATAATCTTGTTGGTAAATGGATAAGAAAATTAACGTTTGAGATATAATAAGATATTGTAAGATATTGCAGAGACGTATATATAGTACGTCTCTGGATAATGGTAATCATTTATAGGGGAGATAACTCTAAATGTATGCATACAGTTGTAGCGGAACATGACTGGGTTGATTGCCAACTAGGGTTCGAACCCCGGTCTGGCCGTGCATTTCCCCGCTCCTGTTACATTAGGCAGGGATATGTAGTGGAGGTTTATTTTAAATCATTTTTTTTTTAAACAAACAATTACAAGAACTACATAAGAAATATAACAGTACATGCATTAACCAAGGGTAAGACAACAGGCTAAGTCTATGTAAGTCTTTTCCTATAGAACCAAAAGGTGGTTAGTGTGTCTTCGGGGTCGAAAACTTTGTTAAAGGGGGGAGGAATGTAATAATGATAATAATAATTCGGGGTTCTTAAATGCCGCTTTATCACAACCTATTTCGTAGGTCGTCTCAAAGCGGTTCA